CAGGGTGGTACTCCAGGGGAGGCTTTTGTGAGAAGAGACCAGGGGCTGCTCTGTGCTAGACACAGTCAGTGTCAGCCAGCTCTGCAATGCACTCACTGCAGGCCACAGCTGAGCCCATCAGCCAAGCCAGTGGCACCTTGGAAAAACATTTAAGAAAGGGCAAAAAATACTGGGGGCAAGGAACACAGAGAGAAGGGCTGTGGGAAGCAGAGAGAGAGGAGGAAGCAGGAACAAGAAGGTCAGAGCAGTGGGAGGTGTTCCACACTGGATCAGGTATGTGCCCAAAGGGACTGTGGCCTATGGAGCAACAAGCAGTGACAGAAGGAAAGTCAGCCAAGCACTGACTTCATCCTTGTGTGCCACCCAGTGCTTCCTCGAAGGGACTGTGCACCATGTGCAGCAGTAACGTGGTAGGAGGAGATGTTTGGAGAGAAGGTGTGAAGTGGAAACCAGGAAGGTGACAAAGAGGAATCTGAAGCTGAGCCTGGGAAAATGGGAAGAAATGTGTTTTTCCTGCAAGATTAAATATTTGTCCTTTTTTGTTGTTGTTTCCCAATACTCCAACCAATTAAAGATTTATGCTACTTAGCAATAAATTAAGTTAAAATCCCCATGGGGTTTTGCCCATGACAGTGATTTTCCTGTCTTTATTTCAACCCATCAGTTTTCTCACTCCCGTTCCTACAATTTTCTTCCTCATCTCCCTAGGGAAGGGAGGAAGGGAGTGAGTAAGCAGCTGTGTGAGTGCTTTGCTGTTAGCCAGGGCCAACCCACCCATTTAAAATGAAACGGGATAAATGGATCCAATGGCAAATTACTTTTATTGATTACCAGTAGCCAAAAGTTTCTTTGCTGTGATCCAATTCATCTAGATTCTAAAAGTGAACTTTTTACCAGGGGGAGAAATGGCAAAGCTTTTTAAGTAAAAAATAATTCAATTTGAGACCAACTGACTTATGGTGGTGCTGCTGCAAGCAGGAAGCTCACAAGACATAAACAAGCAGCTTCTCCTTCCTCTTAATTTGCATGGGTAAGAGATATTAAAAATAAACAAGTGTAGTGGCTTATTGAAGACCAAGCTCCTTCTTTACAGTTTCTAAAACCGGAAAATCTGGTTTATGTTACTTTTGTCATACAACTAATATTCAGGGAATGGTGTGTCCTCATTCTACAAACAGTCATGAATGTGTTTCACAACAAATTATTTGGAATTTTTTTGACAAAACCTTTCTAGCAGGGAAAAAAAAAAGTGGGTTTTTTTATTTTTAAAAGTAGTAATTTAAAAATGAAATTGTTCTCCTTTACTTTTACACCATAAAAGTAAAGTTTGGCATTTACAAGGTGAAACCACACCACTTTTGTTGTTCTTTCAGGCTGAGAGATATTTCTGCTGTATTATTTTGAACAGAGTTAAAAGATTAACCCCAAACTACCCAATTCTTAGGACTCAGTGCAAAATCAGAAGATAATAGAATTATCCATTCATCATTTTTATCTTTCCCCAATTAACATGATGGTAAAAGAGCTTCAGAAATGCGGGGGAGGGAGGGAAGTAGGATGGTAAGTAATTTTCTAGCCAGCTTTAATGAAGAGATACTCCACTAGCATTACACACTAAACAGTAAAAGTACAAAAGTACAAAATAAAATACAATTATTTCAAAACAATATGTAAGGAACATGAAGTTAGGAGGTCATATAAACCAGGAAAAATATTTATCCTAGAAAGAATACTTGTACAATCAGGAAAAGAAGGACTATGAGTTGCATAGTGGCTATACAGCCACCTGGTTGCAAACTATCCTGATCAGAGTCTGCTAAAAAAATGTGCCAGCCAAAGGGCAAAGATATTTACAAAATAAGACACATACAGTAAACAACTTTTTATGCCAATCCCAAGGATTTGATACTTTATTAATTTCAATAAACATAGAAAGGAGTAACTGACTCTCACATCAAGAAAAAAAACCAGTTGTGAGTATACTTAGCTTGGCAAAATATTTGAGGGATAGAATTTAAAAATCATAGGATTAGGCAACAATTAAAATGAAAGTCTTAAAATGAAGGATATCTGAAATAGCAAATCATTCTAAGACTAAAAATATCTGCCTACAAGAGGAGGCTATGTGGGTCTTTAGAGTCTGACAGAAAATAAAAATACCCGAAACAAACAGTGAAGAAATGCATATATTGTATTACAGTAATATAGGAAAACCAGCAATTTAAGGCAGAAGTATTCAGGTTCATTCTGCCCTGTGTAAGCAGAAAAATCTTGCTCTTTCTCTCCCTTCCTCTCCTACCCTTTCTCTAGTCTTTTTTCCTCACTTTCAAAGGAACTTGATGAAACTTGTAAATTCTTGCTGTTAAAACAGAACACCATTCCTTTGTCCATAGGAGCTAAGAGGCCAACCCCACCACAACAAAATAAAAATTATCATTAGCTCAAAACTATAGCAATTCTCTTCATTTTCACCTTATTTTGTATGACATTTTAAGATCATAAAGAAATATAAAAAGTATTAAGAAAAGGCATTTTTCCATTTTCTTGTGGCACACCTTTTCTCGTGATATGCCAGCATTAGCTTTCATTTAACATTTGAAAGTTTCTCAATAATAGCTCCAGGGCTCTTTTTATCTTTTGGCCTGGACTGAAGCACACTGCAAGTATTTCTGAAGCAAATAACATGCTTTTTCAATTGTATCAGAATGCTTTTTAAATAAGCTTTTAAGAACGGACATTTTCCTTTGCTTTGTGCCTTCAGGTACAACACAACCGTATGTTTTTAAAGGATGGATTCTGGTCATGAGTGAGAAAGAATGTATCAATTCCTTTGTCAAAAACGTATTTTTTCAGGACTAATACTTTACTTCTATTATTAGACAATTGCTATACTAGACAACATATCCAGTTGTCTATTAGAAAAATATATGAATTAGAGATGTGATCCTAAGAGTAAGTTTTTTAAATGACTAATCCATGTCAATAGCTTCTAATTTTCTTCATTATAGCTGTCAGTCCTGTCAACAGTGCAGAATATAAACAACAAGCAACAAACAAAAGGAAAGAAAGCAAGAAGATAAAGTAGCCTTACTGACTTTGACTTCTAATGAAATAAATTTTTTAGCACTATGGATTCCCGCAGAAAGTGTGTTTGCATACACCACCATACAAACACCACTCTGGCTAGTAATATCAGAGGAAAACAGATCTGTCTGAGCTCTATACCCTAAGATCTCTTTATGAGTATGGCTGATCAACTGATTTTTTAGCATGGTAGAAAAAAAGATGAGGCCATTTTTACACCAAATTAAAACATTTTTCCAGGATGCAAAAAATCCCAAATCACTGTCATTGCATACCTGAAGCAGTTCAATCTTGTGTGTTCACAGTCCAGAGTGCCAAAGACACAATTCATGTTAAGTACTTCTTAAAAAGCTATCTCAAATGTCCTGTCTTCCTCCTCTCATTCTCAACTAATTTTACTTCATTCGTTTCATCCCCAAACTTCTGCTCATAGAATCAAAAATCCATCGCACAAACTCTTCTCCAATCCTTACCTTGCTAAACCATGCCCTACCCCATTCCAAATCCCTTCCTACTGAAGAATCCCACACTAATGTGCCATGATCTAAACTCAGGCTGAATACCTTCCGGATGCAGTGGCTCGACTCCTCCAATTCTGCTTGCCCAGGTACTGCTATTCTCACTGCCACTCCAGCATTAATCACTACTCTGGATGCTGCTGCGTCTGTTTGTTTCCTCCATGACTTCCCTCCACACAGCAGAGGCTCTTCCACCTGCCAGCAGTACACACTGCTCCCTATTGGCGACTGGCTCTCCCTGCGTTAAAGCAGCCTCGGCTGCTGGTCTGACAGGCTTTATTTAATACAGGTCTGCACTTACCAAAATCCACCTGGAGAGCACCCTAAGGGCAGAAGCAAAATATACGTTTGTGAGAAAACAGGATGTATGGAATCCATATTATTAACGAGCCATTACAAAACTGCATAGCAAGCAATATTTGTGGTCAGATTCTGTTCAAACACTTGTTTTGGTTAAACAAGCTTCTCCTCTTTCATCTTCCTTCTTCTTGTCTCAGCATGGTTACCCAAATGCAGTTTTTCTGTTTAAGCCTGGCAAATATAACCTATCCAGAAGTGACTATTTTTTTCCTTACCTTTTCTCTTTCTCTATTATTCCTTGCCATCCTCCTCTGTCTCAGTGATTCCTCTTATAGATACTGTCCCCTAAGTAGCTGTGTTTATCCCCAGTTTACAGGTTGGATGTGTATGAGGTTACAAAGGAAAATATCAGATTTATTTAATAACTCATTGAAAGTTACAGTTAAGTCTTGTAGTCTTCCACTTTTGAATTGAACGGATTTTGTCAGATTACATATACTGCACACAAACTTCAAAACTTCAATCTTACTTCTTACAAACTTACCCACTCCCCTCCTCCAACTATTTAACAATTCATTTCCACTTGATTCTTGAAACAGATTCCATAATCAAAATTACATACACTTTTAACATTACTTTTTAAACAACTAGAGCTTAAGTGCTTTGAAAAAAACAGTTGCACAGCTGGAAAATCTTATAGTTTATAAACAACCTCCTTTCTTTTTTGTTCAAAATGTTTTCACAATTCAATGCTTATGCTCCTCTTAACCTGTTGTAGGCAGGGAATTGTTCTACTCCATTGCAATATCTAATAATGAAGTCCATTGGGTTACAAAATAATTTGCCACTGTGAGATATTTGATAATATCTCACAGATGAGAGTAGACGGTATTAGCAACCTTTTTTTCTTTCTTATAAAAAATACATTGCATTAGGTTAATGAGAAAAAGACAATGCTGAATATGTTATTATTTCTTATGATTGTTAATTTCCTGCCATGAAGATTTTAATTTGAGCTGTGGCAGAATATGAACTCCTCAATGTTTACAATTAAACTATACATAAATTACAGACTTTGGGGCAGAAGGGACATTTTACCTTGCAACACGGAATTGTTTCAGTTTCTGATTCTAGTTTTCAAACAAGATGGCTGTGCACTTATTATCAGTAAATGAGTACAAAGTCCTGTCACGTGAACTGAAACAGAAGGGTGGAGGGGAAGAAGGACAACACTGAAAAAGGCAACTCACTATACAACACCTACATGATTCCTTGATAAGACATTACTTCACTAGTAGGAAACAGTCTCAACATGTTTTCATAATACCTATACACACATGCCTAACCAAGATGCTTGGTTTAGTTTGTTACTGATTCTCCCATTAGACTTTTTCAATGTTAGTGATTTTCCATGACATTTTTGGAAAACAAGGGCAGTGCCAGAATCCCAGGTACATTTCTGCCTTCTGTACACATGAAAGAATTCCTGCTGAATATCTACATAGCAACTTTGGGAAAACTGCACTGAAACATCTTGTAAAATATAATCAGATCAGTGTTTTTCATACTTTTCCATCAGAGGCACAGAAATATTTAGAGATTTTCTTTTTATAAATATCATACACTATAGCCCGTCCTGGTTTGTTCACTATGCATTGTCTTAGAAACCGTATGTGCTCCCAGAAAGTCCAAGCACCCTCATATGAGAAAAAATCATTCATTAAACTTCAAAAAGTGCTAGCTAGTTCACCATATTATAGCTATTGTCCTCCTCACCCCAACTTATGTATTTTTTACAGAGATTTTATCAGGAAGAAAAAGATGGATGTCGAAAGACAATCAATGCTGATGAAACTTAACAGAATCCAAACCTTACATTCTAAATATGGGATTTTACTTTTCTTCCAGGCAAAATATGAAAGCTCGCAATGATGGGGAGAAATCAAATTGAACTAAGGTTTTTGAACAGCTGTCTAAATGCAAAGTTTAAATTACAGTTTTCTGTGGTTCAGGAAATCAGTACAGCTTGTCCTAAGCCTTCTCCTGCATTTTTCCTCTGTCTATTTAAAAATAACATTGTACTGTAACAATTTTGAAATAATTAGAAATTACCAAGCTTTTCTCTTTCTCAAATACAGATAGAAAACGCTAGCCCTATCTTAAGCCTTTGAAAAACTGCACTACTGTCTTGCAGTTATTGAAAGTTATTATTAACAAGTGAATCTAAAGACAATTTTTTAAAAAACTTGTCAGTCTCCCTAAAATAAATAACCAAGTAGTTTTTAATCCCTTTGATTAATGATATTTTTAATCATATTTTAGAAGACACTAAGAAAAAACCCCTTTATATGGACATAAGAAGCAGTACTAGATACAACAGATGAGAAGCAACATCTACCAGCGAAACACCATCTCCTCTGTACATACACTGCAACTCTTAAATGTGTAATAATAACTACTTAAAATAAATTTTATTAAAACAAATTATTATTAAGCAGCATTCATTCAAAACCTTGTGATTATGTAAATTAGAAAAAAGTAAGGATAAAACAAGAGTATGTATCAGAAAATAATTATGGACTGAATGAAAAGCAGACTTGTCTGTGCTAATTAACATGACAATTCAAGGCATTTGATATGGAAAACCAAAATGCAGCATAGAAAGATCTATTCATTCTAACTAAAATAGTATGCAAAAAATCACAATGAGTTAATGAGTGAAAAAAATAAACTTCCTCCCCCTCTCGTATCCAAATCTAAGCACTGAATAGAGGGGTTTTCTCTGTTTAGGTTTCTTTTCCATGTTTGATTAGAAATCATTGAAGGGTGCTAAAGTGACAATTACTTGATGATTTCAAAGCATAAGTAGGACTGAAAATTAAAATGCTACCAGGGAGGCTGCATTTAGCTATGGCAAATAGGGTACTATGTTACCCTGTAATGTATTCTCCAACGATCTATGTTACTTAATGGATTATATTATCCATTTTGAACAATAGGTGTTTTTGTGGGTTTGGTTTCTTTTTTCCACATGGATATGAATATATTGAGTTTTTTCTCTTTCTTAATTTGTTAGAAACATTGCTTTTTAAGATACTTTGGACTTCTGGTCACCAAGTGGGAGACAGTATCTATGAATGTTCATATCTATAACAGAGTTCAATTAATTTAATTGGTAAAGGAAATTATTTTTCTAAAGAGTGTTTGGGATGAAAAAGAAGGATGCATGACTGAATTATTGGAATCTAGTGGAAAGGGAGAGCTGCAGTGAGGCAGAGCTTTTGTTTCAGTTCATCAAAACATCTTTGCCAAAGCTTTAGAAGTTTAGGATCCAACTCACATGACTAAATGTTCATCTACCAGGTATGGTACAGTGTCTTCGTAAAAACAAAACAAGATACAGCTGCCTTAGACTGGTGCACATATAAATGCTTATGCTGTCACATAAATCTGCTAATACAAACTTGTATTTAACTTGGATTCAAGTGAAATATAACAGTAACAGAGCTAAAATGGAACAAAGGGTATTTGTTAACTTCTCTTATCATAGTGAAACCAAAGGAACACAGCTAATTTCAGAAGATATTTTTGAAAGACACACATATCCAGAATTAAAAGGTAACAGTTCTGCTGTTCTAGGGACTTTGTAAAAATTGGATTATGGATTCTAGAGAACATTTACTCTGCAACAAAACTTCACTGAAAAAAGATGTTTAAAGTTCACTCTTTGGCTTAGTCCAAAAAAAGTGTTAATTTTCCCTCTGAAAATTCTGTAGCCATGTAGTTATCTTGAAGGATGTAGGGGAATCATCATATAAACTTGTGAAATCTGTGGATTGCAGAGGACTTTATATAGTTCTGAGGAAGTCACAACAGCTTTTATACATGGGAACCTACGACACAGTCCAATGGTTTAAGTGTTTTTTTTTTAATCATGGTTGTGAATAACTATTTAAGAGTTACATGTCAGAGTTTAGCTGGAAGAACATATTGGCTATGCCATGTAAGGATAAATATCCAAGTTTTCTAGTTGCTATAGCCATAGTTTCTGAATATCGAATAATACTGGTCTAAGCTACCTTGAGTCACAAATAGAATAGGATTTTTGAAGAAGGATGGGCTTGAACAAACAGGAAAAATATATTTCATTGAATCTACTAGGTATTTTATTTTATTATATTTCCTGGATATGATGAATTTAGAAAAGCAGATGAATATGCAGGTCCCCCACACTTTGTCAGGTCCTTCAAGAAGCAACAATCACACAAATATTACAAAATTGCAATCAAAGGTTTACTATACTTCCACCAACTTCAGAAAGCTTCAGTGCAAACATCACCCCAGAAGATGCTGTTAGAAATTCAGTGACAAGAGTGCCATATACTGAGTGAACCTCTATGCTTCCTGAAGCACGTAGGCTTTCCTCCATGCTCTGCAATTCCAGGATACACCCTAACTGTACCTCATTTCATAACCTCAACACAAAGTTAGTTTCAGGATGGCACATTAGGATATATAGCCATTTTAATATTAAAAGCCTTGTTAACAGCTTTTGGAAAATTGCATTAGTCTAATTTTTCCAGATGAGAGCATAATGGTTGGCGTAAAAAGGAAAAGTCGGTGAAAAACAGATTATGGACACAGGCTGTCAAATATGGTCATTAATATAATACTCATTCCCTATTGCTTGTAGTAGCCACTGGTCTAAATGACACATACAGCATTTCCGAAACAGTGATACAACAATTCATCCTGTAATACAGCTTCTTGCAGATAGCTGCCTCATTAGGCTTGCAAGAGAGTAGTTTTTCATACTTAAAAATGCAAAAAAATATTTCAAATGGCATGAAGAGTAGTAAGCTCTTCATGGGCTAGAGATGTTGCCACTGATCTCTTTCAGAGAAGTATAATACCGACTTCTTTAATTAGTGAGCATACATACAGATGTGATCCAAAAAGCAAATTTTAAATTGGACAAATGGCAACAGAAGTTTTGAGCTTTTGTCTTGCTACAACATGGTGAATAACCTTAGTAATCAGCAGTAAAAATCAAACTATTGCAAAGATGGTAATTCAGTTCTTATGTTAATTCAAAGGTATTGCTGTATCTGGGACTAAGGTGGCAGTCTAATAGCAAAAGATGGCCTTCTATTTGTCACTTATAAACCCCACAGCTATAATAATGTACCCAAGTGCTGGACTTCTCTAAGGAAGAAGGAAAAACCTAAAATGCTGAGAGCAATCAAAATGCTAAAAGCTTCAGAAAGTATAACTTATGACAAAAGAATAAATGAATGAAATTTGTAAAATAGAAAAAAAGACAGAGTAAGAACACAGGATATTGTAGCACAGCAAAAGATTCACTGAAAGATTTAGAAAATTTTAGGCATAATATTTTAAGCATATACAATTCTATCTCAAAGAATTCATTTAGATCTTGAATGTCTCTCATGGTCTTACCTACATGTAAGTACATAAAATGGAAATCCAGGAATCTTTCAAACCTGCAGTTTCACTGTAAGCAATCATTCACCTTACAGAACTCAAGGTGAAATGTTTGAGATATACTTATTAAGTGGAGCTAGCTGTCTTAGGGAAAAAAGTCAGGGTCTCACTGGCTTGACAGCTCTGGGACTTCACTGCTTCCTTCTAGGTATCCCTAATATCTAACCTTATCAGTATTTACAAGTGGAGTTTCTTGTTTTACAAATGTTTTATGAATACAAGTATATGTTACTGATCTGCTGATATGTTACATCTCTGTTGAAAGTACAATATAAGAAATAAAGTGACATCATTGTCTCATCTATTTTGTTACAATATGCTGAACCTGTTTCTTCAAGGTAGGTGAACATAAACTGAAGTGGACAACCTAATGAAGGGACTATTGCCCCACCCAAAAATTAGTCAGTGCCCTACATGCCAGTGGTCACAAAAGCCTATTTGTCATTGGCTGTCCACAACAGCACATTCTGGAGTATACTACCAGTGCCTGTTTGCCTGCCTGTGCCCGTAAGGAGGAGGGCAGGGCAGTAGCTTTGGGGGGAAGACAAAAATAGAATGATGACTTGGTTGGGAGGTACACTAACTCCTCCAGCCAAGGAAAAGTCCCAACTCCTCTAGTCAGGCACAGCCTTTATATCTAATACAACTCGGCTCCAACGGGGAGTCAAGAAGCCTCTGGCTAACTCTGCTTGGCACTGCCCCCTCTACTCTTCCCACCATTTATGCTTCCTGAACAGAGTTGCTACTTCATATATACCAGCACAATGTTATGGTTTCTCTGGCTAGATAGATCTAGGAGCTCAGACCACCAGAATCACTGCAAAAGAAAAGTAGTGGCACTGTTTGATAGCTGGCCCCCAACTGCCTCCCTGCAGTACCTAGGCTGTTAGCATGCTCACCCTGATTGTGTGGACATTCTGGGCTGCATGTCAGCGAGTTCAATTATTTCTACTCATCTCTTCTGGGTAGATACAAACTTAAGGGCAAGCAGTCACAGAGTAGGCTGAATATCTGAGCTCTGGAGATTCAACATTACAGCTTGTTGCATGCTGAGTGGGGAATATCCATATAAAACCTGAATCTGGAGCAGCATTACAGATCAGCAGCTTAGAGACCTTGTGACCCTGAGAATCACAACTCCTTTTCTCTCTTTTCCATCTAAAGATCTAATTACAGCAGCCTTTGAAGAGGTTGAGCCTAGGAACACAGGACTGAAAGGGACCACTGGCAGGGTGACCGTATTCGGTTTCACCTTGACTCCTGGCAACCAGGTGATAGATGACTTGCTCAGAAAGGTTCACAGAATGTGCATTCCATGTGACAGTACAAAGTTTTTCCTATAATCTGTAACAATCAAACTGTAGTAAAATGAAAAAAGCATGGCCAAAAAATTCACATGCAGACAAGGAAGAAAACCAACAGTTTAACAAATATTTTAGGCTCCTTCAGCAATGGGAAATTAGATAAATAAATGAAAGTTGCAAATGATCCCACACAGGAAGCCCATATCACACAGGAAAAGCAAAGCAGGATACAACACATCTTATCTTGGGATGCAATCTCATTTGCCTAATCTTTCTGATAGTTTAAGGTTAAGCAGGACCCACCCATTAAGCACTTCAGGATTTCCACTGCAATAACATTGCTAATCACCTGAACAATTTGCCTGTGTGCAGCCACTTTTTTACTGGAATATCAAAAATTACATCAAAAAGCTAAATCACAACCCATAAAGAAAGATGGTTGTGACTTTAATAGAAACAAAAAAGGCCCTGAAGCATGGTATTAAGGCTTCATTTCCCCGCTTTGGACATGGTTTGTTCTGTTGTACAATCTTATCAATAAATACAGCAATTGACATCTAAAAATATCATAGTATAGTCCCCTTGTTCCCTCTTGTGTGCTTGTTTGGCTTTTCTAGAATTTCACCCCTCACTGCTGCTTAAGAACCTTTTTATAGAGCCTCATCTAAATTTATTGATGATGAACATATATCTTCCTCACTTTATTCTCCTGAAGCATAACACATCATCTTTCTTGCCTTTGTAACTAACACACTTGTAATTGGTGGTCAACATCAAAATCTAGAAAACAGATGGCTCTCCTCCCCCTACTTGCTTGGCTGGAAGAATACACATGATTGACTAAAAGAGGATATACTCCCTTTTGACTTATGTAATCAATAAAACATGACTTAGCTCAGCAAGGGTATGGTAGTATCTAATTGCCTTAAGACATATGCTCATCTTTCCTTTTGCCGCTATAAAAACATGAACTGAAACAATAAAATTCACCTAATTCATAATCTTAGGGTGAAAAGCTCTTGTTTTGTGAAATCCAGCACTGATAGGGGCTCAATTTTATGAGGGCTTATAGGCTCAAATATAGCAACTGTTGTGAATCTCAGCTGATACCTGAATTAATTTACATTTAACTTTAAGACATTCCAAATAATTTGTTACTAATAGTGGGTTTAACAGCTGCTCATGTAAATCATTATGAAAGCTTTTAAATTACTGGATTTATTCAAGTCTTCCGATTCTTTTTTAATATTCAAACCAAAACAGATTACAATCTGTTTATCCTCTTTGCCAATGTGCCTGCAGAACAAGAAAAATAAAGTCAGTCATTTCTGTGTGAAACACATAGGGCATGATGGTCCTATCAATGGCATAAAAAATAGGTAAGTGAATCCATGCTTCAAGCACAATATGAAATTGCAGGAAACTGTAATTATTGAGTCAACTGTATTACCTAAGAAAACACTTAAACATATTCTGAAGCTTTTGCTCTCTAGGAAAAGAACTTAATCACATAAATTTCACTGATGTGGAAAACTTTTTAGCTTCAAAGTAAAGAAAACCCAAACAAACATACAGAGGTTAAAAAACGGTTAGGAGGACTCTGTGCCTAAAACATTGTGTTGCATAATTAATAATTCCATGAATATGCACTTGAATATTTTCACTTTATCTCACATGCAAGAACAATAAAACCAAAGTGATTTTATCATATTATTAGAAATATTAAGAGAAATTAGACTTTTTTGGTATATGAAGGGCTACTTATAGGTAGTTAATTTACAGTAAATTTAAAAACCTGGATATCCAGATGTATATTTACCATGTATTACCATAAAATTTAAAACTCAGCAATGATTTATTCACCTGTTTTAGTGTATGCCCAGATAGCAACTTTAATTAATTTTAAAAATGCACATGAAATTAATTGTGTTCTTCAGACTTTGCAGGATTCGAATCTACTTGCACAATTACATCTCTGCTACCCATGCTCATCCTTCTCAATAAGCATACATCAGCTTTGTAGGCACGTAAATAATTATCAGTTTTCATGGTTACTGTACCTCCACTACAGTATGCTTCCCACAACTCAAAAGTTACTGAAGTCTTCATAATTCAAAACCATTTTAAAATAATAAAAATAGTATCAAACAAAAAATAAATTGCATAATTCTCAAATTCTTTTCACTCTCTCTTTAAAAAAAACCAACCAAGACTGAATACTACTGCTGAGTGACAAATATTTCATGGCTAGGTTTCGCCAACGAACAGGATCTCTTACTTGTGCATCTAGAAAACTATGCTCCACCATGAATTAAAAGTTGCTTGGACTTAACTTCATTCTGTTAGTATGAACACAGTCATGCTGAATAAACCTAAACAGTTGTCTATACTGGGAAGATATTCCTGTGTTTGAAGACAGCTATGAAGAATTAAGTAAGCTAACATTACACTGATCATCACTGAAGAGACAGAGAAAAGCAAAGCAAATTGAGGTCATCAGTCTGCCAGGCAATGTGACAGTCTAGACTTGTGTACCAAAAGATTTGTAACACGGACCACTTAACCCTAAAAACGTTTGCCTTATGTATTACACTTTAATTTTTAGGCTTCTTTCATACAGATTGTCTTTATGACCTTTTTCCATTTAAAAACTCAAAAGTTTTGCAAAAGCCTTATGTTTTCTTAGATGAACTGGTTACTTACACAACAAAAATACTGTCTCCCCTTTTGAGGAGGGCATGGGAGATGGAATTGTGATCTAACAATTAACACTTCTCTCTAATTAGAACAATGAATCAAGATACCCAACTGTTGTAGCTTTTTCTTGTTAACAAGTGTTTTACTATGTCAGCAAATACAACTTAAGACCAGCTTTTTGGAATATTTGCTAATTAGAAAGTGGATGAATCCCCCTCAGGTACAATTGTCATACAACCTCATTACTCATCCTCTTTAAATTTTGTCACAGCAGCGTACACTTTTACTATAGAAACCCATTCTTTCTTAGGACAGCACAACACTACCATTATAGGTATTGAAATTACTATAATGATTTTTTTTATTCCCCTTTAACAGTTAACACATACTGTATTTTGGATTTTACCTTTTGATTGATTCTAGCTGTGCTCCCACCTAAGTGAACTACAAAGGAATCTAACACATTTGCTGTCTGAAACAAAGCTGGAATATTGACTTATTGCACAGTGTTTATTGCAGAAACAAAACACCTGTGGGCATTCTTAACACTGGTACTGTGAGGTTACAATAAAAAAAAAATTATCTGGAATCACAAGACTCATTTTCTTATATCTATGCAAGAACTAACAGATGACTATGTGTGGAATTTTTTAAAGACATTTAAGGTACTGTGCACAGACCTTTTCCTAGCCTTCATAGGCAGGGCATAGGCAGCATTGTCATTACAGAATGAGACAAGATGAAAAAAAGAGAAAACCAATCAAAAAACTCAAAAAACTTTGTTTGAAAGTCAAGTTTTATTATTAAAAAGGTACAAGTAAAGGCCAAGGATATTTTATTTGTCTTCTTATTTCCAAGACAGGACAAGGTATGAGGAGAACTCTGTGTCTATATTTCACACAAATGTAGGGTGAGTATAGTTTGAGAGACAGGTTTTAGGGGTAGATAAGATGCTTAAATGAGCTAAATTAAAATTCAAATATAACTGTATGACACTTACAGTTAGGGATTTAAAAAACACCATTAACTTGCTACAATGGTGATGCATTGCCAATTCAAATGAAGGCATTGTTAGAAAAAAAGAATTGCCGCAAGGCCTACCTACAAATGAGACAGGACTTCCCCTATGAGAAGCTTCAACTAACCACTGCCTTCACATGGAACAGCAAAGCTGTGCAAGTCTTCAAGCCAGTATGTCACCTTGGGAGCTTGGTATAGCTCTTTTCATGTCTGCTTCTGCAACTGGTATTTCAGTGATCTTGATGCCTAATGGAGAGTTACCTGCATGAAAAGATAAAAAAGGGAAGACTGATGAATTAAGTCCCCTCCTTTCCTCACAACTGCCCAGTCAAAATTAGATGGATGATTTGTCCATGCAGGGAGGTTTTGTTTCCTATCAACCTTCAATTAACTATTCTTGCAGTCAACAAACCATAAGAGATGGGTTTACTCTAACCTCACAGTTTGGTTTTTTTTTTTCCCCCATTACTTTACTCTTCCCTCACAGCTTTACATAGATTTATGCCTTTCTGTTTATGTCTCCAGTTATGACCTGGTGGTAATATCATCCCTGCAAATCTCATTACAGACATGCAAAAGGTTTGCGAGGCAACGCTGTATGAAGCATCAGTTTGGGAGGAACTCCCCGGTCTCACCAGCCAGCAGCACCAGGGGGACTGAAGAATCACAGAGTGGGTAAGGTTGGAAGGCACCACAGTGGGTCATCTGGTCCAAGCTCCCAACTCGAGCAGGGTCATCCCAGAGCACAAGGCACAGGATCGCATTCAGACCGTTCTTGAGTATCTCCAGTGAGGGAGACTCCACAAGCCCTATGGGCAAGAAGCTCTATCCTCCAACAAAAGACGCCCCACGAAATGAAACGGACTTTGCTTTAAAAGCAGAACACAGCAAACAGAGAGGTCCCGCTGGCCCGGCCCACGGCGCTCCCGCACCCTCTGAGTGGCCCCGCCCCCCCCTGCGCCGTGCCCTGCCCGGCCTCTTCCCGCGGCGGCTCCGCTCGCTCGGCTGCTCCGGCCTCGCCATGTCCGCTTCCAGCTCCTCGGCGGCCGCGCTGCGCCCGGTCACTCACCTGATCTTTGACATGGACGGGCTGTTGCTGGGTGTGTAGCCTGCGCCCCTCTCCCCTCTGTGCCGGGCCCCCGCGCCGCACGGTGTCACCGCGCCGCCAGGCCCGGCCCGGCCCGGCTGTGCGGACAGCGCGGGTCCGTAGCTGGCGGCGGGCAGCCCCCTTCCCTTCCTCTCCTCCCCTTCCCTCCCCGCCTCCCGCTGCCTGAGCGGGCCAAGCTGCGGGCGCCCGTTTGCGGCCTTCTCGCTCCAGGCGAGGAGCCAGAGCGCCCCGGGCGGCGCTGCTAAAACCCGCACTGTTGCTAAAGCAACAGGAAACGATCTAATTCCTTCTCCTCCTTCCGCCATCCGCTGCCTTTCGGGGGCAAATTCCGTCATCAGAGATCCGAGGCTGAGCGTGACAGGGCGCTTGCTCGGGATGGTGGAGGGCTGGGCGAGGTTTTGGGGAGAGAGGTGAAGGTCAGGTTGGGGTTGGAAGCCAAAGAAAGCGGGTATGGAGGAAAATGGGGATCCAGTGTGCGGAGCTGAGGGAGCCCCGGGCCCAGCGCTGGCAGCAGCGAGACCCTGGCCCAGGGCTGGAAGTGCCAGGGCAGGACACTGCTCGGCAGCCTTTGGGGTTACCACTGCAGCTGGAGCCCCCCGTGACAGCCTTGTATCACGGCTTTTGTATCAGTAGACTGCCTGGTTTGCAGGCTTATTCTGTAACCTGTGTCCTCCCGCGATACAGCTAGATTGGACCTTGGGGTTTGAATCGTCATTATGACTACGACAGTATTTAAGGCTGTTTAGCTGTTTGCTGAATCAGGACCCTCTGCTGAGTGTCTCCTGTGGAATAATGGAGTATTTTTATATGTGACTTGGTTTTTGAAATAGTTCGTGTGGGTTATCGCACAGGAAGCAGCATTCGATGTGGGTGAATTCTTAAAAGGTGTGAACTTAACGTGTGTACCTTCCTTCTGCAAAACCCAAATTGTTGCAGTTTCTGGGAAGACTGGTGTGAAGTCTAATGAATTACTCTCTATTTCCAAGAAATGTGCACTTTCCCCTCCTTTAACAGGTGAAGATGATTCACTTATCAACTTTTAAAACAGAAATGACATTTCCCATGCTATCATAAATATTTTTAAGTATTTTAGAGCTATTGGGTTTTGTTTGTTTCATCTGTACTCTTAATATGCTATGCAAAACAGTGATTGAGTTATTTTAGTTCCGTTTTCTGTTTCATCACTGGAGTCTCAAAATTTAGAAATTGCCTTTCTGTAACATTCCAAACAGGCAACACCAATACCAATTGAGGTTCTGAGTCGTTTTTAGATCTCTAAACTCCTGGGGTTCATACAGTGAAGAAGGATTAAAAATACTCTAGATTATGAACTGTGCCTCATACTGGAAAAGTAATTATAAAATATCCATAATTCTTGGACATAAAACTTTGCCAAGATTGAGACACTTGAGGTATAAACCTATTTCTTGCTGTTATTAAATTTATATGTTGTAAATTACAGCACCAGATAAATACTTTGTCACTTTCTGGATTTCAATAAAAAGGTGGACAGCAATTATGGCATTTTGTGTGCTTATATAAAAATATATTTACATGAACATTTTATGCATGCTAGTATAATTTGCTTTTTTATCCCTATATATGAAGCGTCCTTTGCACTGATAAATATTTATCCTGTTTTCATTTCCCTAGTTACTGTTATGCTACGTGGATGTGATTTCTTCTATTTAAAAAAGTTGCATATAAAGAGTGTGTTGTATTTCAGAAGTCTTTCAGCTGCAATGAGTTAAACTGAAAATACTCTTTAAATAACTTCCGGTACAGAGGAGTAAAAGAGACACCACCTTGATGATTTTCAGAATGTACACTTCGTTTCAGAGGACCTGTAGTATGTTTCAGCCTCTAAATACTATCAGTTCTGTCACAAGTTTGACATTTTTTAGTGAACCTGTTTGATTCATGATGAGCTGTGACTCTTAAGAGGCAAAAAGGCAGTCAGGAGACTGCTTGGACTTTTCCAAGATTTTAAATGTTTCAAACAGCTTGGAATAATTTTGGGGAAGGAATGAAATAAGGGGCACACAAGTTAGATACTTTCTGCCCAACCTGTCTGCCATAGATCTTCTGAATAAGACGAATTGTTATATTGATGTAAATCTACATGAGAAATAAGAACCCCTTTAATTTTTTAATGAAATTTTAATGTGTCACGTAGTGCTCATTGAAGATACTAAAATGGATAACATAGATGTTTTGGGAAGCTATAGAAATATGCCCAAAATTACTTCCTTTCAAAAAGCTTGAATTTGGTATTGGATATTTATATATACAAAAATTTGGTATTGGATATTTAAAACTACACTTTTTGAAGTACCTCCATAGTTGGTTGCATTTTTCAGAATCTAAAGCTTTAGGTTTTTGCAATAATTTTCACAACAGAGTAGTGCCTGAAAGTGTGACTATTTTTGGAAGTTTTCAACTAAACCTTACTGATTTTATAGGACAAATATAAATTGATCTATAAACGGTGAAAAAAAAATTGAGCATTAAATTCATCTGATGTAATGTGCCCTGAACTTGCTTTCTGTAACTGACATACTTTCTTCTTATTAAGGAAGGTAGGATATTTTCTGATAGAAAGATTTCCAAAACCTTTAAGAGTGTAAAATCCTTAAATGAGGTCTGAGGAGCTTACAAGGTTCCTGACTTTGGAAACAATCCAAGTGTTGCCCTATAAGACCTGTATCCTGTACTTTAGTGGATAAGGCTCAGCTGTGTGAAAGTGTTGCTGAGTCTGATCCTCTGTTATTTTATCTTCCCTGCTCTCGTTAACATAATTGAGGCTGATTAAGTTGTCCTTGAGTCCCACCTTGATATATCAGTTTACCCTCAATAGGGAAGTCCTTGCCCCTGAATTGCCTGTGAAAGTGCTTCACCCCTTTTTTTTCAGAATCTTTCTGTATCATTGTTTCAGGTGTTATCTAACACCCTTTTCCAGCATGTATAATCAATGCAATCCACCCTTCCTTTTTTTTTTTTTTTTTAATTACCTTCTCTTTTCAGCTGTTGGATGAAGTCTTAGGGTTTTTGTCTCTTGCCCCAGTTACCAAGAGGTTTGACTGGAAAGTAATGCTCTCATTTTGTAAGTAAAATATATGAACGGCACCTCTGGACAGCTTATTATTTAAAGGGTAAAATGAATTGAAGGATTTTTTAAATTTTTTTTTGTAGGGAACTCCAGCTGTAAGAGAAAAAACAGCCTTTGTGCTAATGTACTAGTTACGTCCTGCTGTATTATACATAGAATATTAGAATTTCTCAAGTTGGAAGGGAGCTTAAGGATCATTGGGTCCAACTCCCTACTCCTTGCAGGACTTCTTAAAGCTAAAAGGGACTAAGAGCATTGTCCAAACACTCCTTGAACTCTGACAGCCTTGGTGCTGTGACCAGTGCCCTGGGAAGCCTGTTCCAGTGACTGATCACCCTCTCAGAGAATTGAACTAATGTCCAATCTGAACTTCCCCTAAAGCAGTTTCATTTGTTGACATAGTTGATTAGTGATGCACTGTGTATTATAAACCAGAGGAAAAGGAATAACTAATATTTTAATTTTAGTGTACTCCTGTACTTTCTTTTTTTAAACAAAAACCTCGCAAACAATAACAACAAAAAACCCAACCAAACAGAAAAAACAAAACCCCAAACCCCCGCCACGAAAAACCCCAGCACTTTAATTAAAGCATTAAATTTCTAAAGTTAAACTTCTACTTGATTTCCTACAGCAAATAATATTAAATGCTCAGAATAGTAGATTGCTTTTTCTTAAAATACTTTAGTCTTTTCCTACAGAAGAGTACTGTTCTAACTGCTAGTATGTAGTATCGTTAAAAATATTAAACCTATTTATGTGTGTGCTTATCCAACACACACAGTACAGGGTTAATCTATAATGGTAGTAGTAGTAATAGTAATAATAAACCAGAACAGAATCTAGATATCTTTGATACCTAAATAAATCCTGTTATAGTTGTACTGTTTGCTATCTGATCCTGGCATTTTAGCATATTGGAAAAACATACAAAAGTAATACTAAGGATAGAGAAGGAAAAATCTATGTAATTTGTACAAAATATACAATTAGAGTAATAACTCCTAGGATCTATCTGCTAAACTTACTGCATAGGTTGTATTTTGAGCTATGATAAGTAGTTTTGTTATGTAACTGTAGCCAATAGCTACCCCACCACCAAAACACAGATAGGATTGAAAATTGCCTTTGTTGATCTGTACCTAAACTTATAGGGGGCTGAAAATATTTAAAATTCTCTACAAGCTCCATGGACAATATTAACCTTTCCCGACTGACAAGTGAACTTAGGAAAATGGCTGCAAAGATAAGAAGTTTCTTAGCCTTGTGCTTAAAGCTGAACTAAGGTAAGCCAACATGCAGAGAACATGACACTTCAGTATAGGCAATTTAGTCGTGTACTTATTTTTGTTTAGATTTTGCTAGGAGTAGCAAGAGGGTTCCTAAAGCAGCTTAGCTTTGCAAGATACCTTCAACTCAAAGGTTGACTCAAAGTCATGTTGGACTGTACAGGCACAGGTATGCCAGCTTGTTGTGACCGTTTGTAGAGGGATGAGAAGTAGTTTAGGCAACTGGGACCAGAAGTTGCTGCTTCTACAGCTGCTGTCTCCTTTGTGTGGAGACTGCTGTGGTCCTGCGTGTCACTGTTAGTCCACTCCTGCATGGTTTGTAATACAGGTCACCTCTGGTCTATGCTGTAGAAGAAATCAGCTTGCAGTTAAATTCATTGCAGTGTTGTGAGATCCACAAGAGTTTTGGCATGTTTTCTTTCTCCCCAGTGTTACCTACCCATTGTCACAAGGTCAGAAGTCAAAAATGTACTCTTACTTTCATTTCATTGCACAAGTTGCCTAGGAGATTGCTGTTATAAGAAAACTGGTGAGAGTTCCATGCTGGAGTTTCCTTATGTGCATGCTGTCTTTTATTTTACAGTGTGAATGGGAGGTTAAAACAGCTTCCTATTTCTTCTTCATCCGAGCAAATAGCACCAATTCAACTAAACATCAGTCCTCTCTAGATTGTCCTCTATTATGGCTTAAGTGCAGGAATTAATCTTTTTAGGCTATAACCTGGCAATCTTGTAAGCCTGTTTTCTGCTTCTGTGTAGTGGAAACTTGCTTTCTTGTCATTCTCCATTTTCATCTGATTTTGGGGGAACAAAGAAGGAAGCAAAAATATTGTCTGTCCCCTGTGTTCTGTACTTGTAATTTGTTGCAAAAACAAAGAGATTAAGGATATTATTAGATTAAAATACCTCATAGATGCATCATGAGCAAATTTTGGAGATAACTAAAACAGCTCCTCATTGAGAATTAACTAACCATAAATAGAGTAAATAAGATTTGTCATATGCTTGAAAGCTAACATTTTAATTTAACAGCAAGGAAAATTTTGGCAAGAACATAGCAAACATACTAACCCAGAGTCTGACTTCTGGTATTCCCATGATTGATTTACAGATTGCCCATCCACATGGTTGCCTGTTTGTGGTTAGAATAATCCAGAATCAGAGTTTAGTTCAGCATCAGTAGAACAGGGTTTTGTTGTGGTGTTTGTTGTTGTTGTTTTTTAATTTCTGTAGTGGTTACCACATTTCAAAATGCCATGGGCAGCATTAGCAAAGATAACTTTTTCTTCTGGAGAAATGAACCAAGGAATGCTCCCACGCTAAAAGATCCATGATTCGATTTTAATATTGCACAGAAATTACAGACAAATGCAATGTATTTTTTGTGCCTATTTATTAGTTGCCCCTGATGCGAAGCATTGGTTTTAAAAGAAGAGAAACCACATGTTTAATAAACTAATCCCAGGAATTTTCCATTTTCCATTTTTGTAATGTGGGGTTTGTTTTCTGACTGTTACACACATTTGGTTGTATAGAGAGTATTTAGCAAGTGAAGAGGTATGTTTTGAAAGTGCTGGGAGTCCAAAGGTTCTGTTTAGTGATTTTAAAGGTGCATACAGCAGTTTGAAGTTAGAATTTATAAAATTCTATAAATGTGCCTAAATGCAGATTTGCAAATCTGTTTGTAGATGATAAGAATTTTATATTTGTTGCCTACGTACACTATTTTGTGTATAAAGTTCCAATTATTTTGCTTTGAATGTAAATAATAAGGTGTCATAAATGGAACAGAGTTTCACACAAAGAAAAGATTAATAGAATTTCCCATTATAATAGCACAGTTTCCAGCTGCTGTATTCCAATTTTCCTTTTACTTAACAAGAAAAACAGCATTAACAACCATGGATTTATTATTCTGCATGCTGACAATAGTTACACTGTGTGCCATCTTGGGCTCAGCAGTTTTTGTTCTGAGTAGTTGTAATCCATTCATGTAGCCTTGTTGTGAGTTGGCTAATTGAACTTTAAGAGTGGAATTTTTCAGGACACCTTAATTGGGGTAGAGCAGTTTACCAACAAAATTTTACTCTGTTAATTCTGCTGTTATATTTTCTCTGAGAGACAATCCTGTTCTTGAATACTGGCATTTATATTTCTAATGTTTGGGGAGGAGAGGTGTTGATGTTAAAATATAATAACTTTTTTTTTTAAATTGGCAACAGTCTGTGATGGTGGTGATAATTTTCACGATAAGATCATTGCTCTTTTAAAGACCAAGAACTCTGTTAACTAACAACACAAAAGCAATTAAGCCAAATATCTTCTCTTTTCAAACTTTATTGCATTCATAATGAACATCTTTAGCAGGAAGTAGAGACTGCTAGTGATTGTTGCTACTTCTATTATGTGTTTATATACCTCTCTGTATTATTACTAATTTTTTTCACAAGACTACAGAGAATTATATAAGCAAGATCATCATCTTACAATGGTTCTGGCAGAGACTCCTGACCTTAATTTATGCTTTTTCTCCCCCTTGATAAGAATAAAATCAGTGTTGTGACCCAAAGTTTATGGAGGTAGTGCCAACCTTTTTCAAGATTTTTCTTGGGACCTAGGAGAAAACCATCCTGTATTACTTCTCCTTTTTTAACTTCCTTTGCTTCAGTAACCAGTGAAGAATGCTTGTATCTCTTGTAGGTCTTTTTTTGATGGTTGACAATTTTTTCTACTTTTTTTTTTTTTGCAATATTTTGCTTCTTGAAGGGTTGCACACCTATTGACAGTATCAGTGTTTGCTGTCTTTATGTATACTTTCTGTTCTAATGCAGCTTTTAATAAATTTTTGTTCCTCTTATAATGAATACCATATTCAGTAAGTAGTAGTTTGGCAATGAATCTGATGCTGTATTTTGGAAAACCCTGCATCTAAGCGGGCATTGCACTTTCCCAAGTATGGTTTTGCTGTTGTTATATACATATAATAGCTGTTTTCTTTTTAAAATGTATTCTTACTTTTCTTCCTCCTTTTATTTGGAGATATTTAAGGTATTTTTGTAAAAGTCATCAAATCAGTCCTAGTAGGTCATGTATGTCTGATGAAACAGGTTTATTTCTGTTCTTGAAAGATTTCCTTTGGGCACCAGTTATGGGTCATCATTCCATGCATTGCTTTTTTTCTCTGCTGTTAGTTTTTGCCTCTGCTGTGTCTGTGTGTGCTTCTTTTGGAAGAGTTTTACATGCGGTTTGTCTCAGCATAACGCAAGGTGTTTGAGAGGAAAACCCAGTTTATTATTTGTCAGTTCAGTCTTTCTGTCTAACATCCATGTGAATTTATTCATGACCTTTGTCGATATATGTATGTACAGAGTAACAGAGCGTTGCATTCTCCCAGCTCATTAATGCGTGTTCTCTGACCTGGTGTAATCCGTCCCCGTGTCACCTTTGCTCTCCAGAGCTTGGGTCTGTGCTGGTCCTTTGCAGCAGTGCTGTGCTTGCGGGTGCTGAGCTGACTGGGTTTGCTTGCCAAGCAGCTCAGCCCTGGGCACTGACTGTCTGCTCTGCGTAAATATGAGTTCGCTCAGGTTCCCTTTCACAGGGTCACCATATACAACAAATTGCCTGCTCATGTGAGGGCATCTTTTGGAATGTCATGTCTTCGAAGTGATGCTCTGCTTTAATCACTCCATTTGTGTGTAGTATAAACTGACACAGAGCACAACTACTAGAATAGACCCTTATTTGATTACTGATTGGTAATAAGTGGGCTAATCTTTGTTGGATTGGGATGTTTTATGAGTTTAAAGCTGGTATTGGTCATTTGCAAACATTTCTAAGCACAAGAAAAAATTTACACTAGTACTGGAAGAAGAATGGAGTGAAAGATAATGTGTGTTTAGTGAAAAAATTGGGATTATAGCTTATCAGAAGGTCCAAAGTATGAGAAATCAGTGTGTTTAAGGTGGAACACAAGTATACTGAGACATAATTTCATTTGAATAAATTGTTCTATGGTAAAGATTTTTTTGTTTGTTTGTTTTGTAATTTACATACAGAAATCTCCTTTGACCTATCTCTTCAGGCCAAAAGTGTAGACCCACACATGCCCATAAAGTGACATAACCTTGGATAATGTCACCATTCTGCTACAAGACCATTACTGCAAAAAGTTACACCATGTGAAATGGTGGATCTTTTTATGCTAGAACTAAGTCTTCTCTATAGTGTTATATTATGATTGGACTAACAAAATGTTATTTGCTTTGTGGCTCAGGGGAGATGGAGCCACAAAGAGCTTATCACAATATAAGAAATTTCTAGTCTTTAAAAATTAAAAACAGTGTTTCATGTGGAATGTATCTCAGGAAAATGAAAGTACTTGGGCCACTAAGGTATTGTAGTATATCTAATTGCTACCCTGCAGCCTAAAAACTTGCATTGTTATTATTGTGGTAGATCATATTTTTATTATATTTATCCTTCTCCCATTTTTAATTTTAACATTTTCATTTTTCATGAACGAAGGTATCTTAAGTGTAAAGAGCAAGAAGTAGTGTTGCTATTTTGGTTTTGTGTGTTCTAGAACTTAAAACGTTTTATGTGGCAGTTGATGGCAAATTATACAGTACTGAAAAATTTAGTTTCTTAAAATGTTCAGTCAGTGTTGACTTTGCATAGTTTACTGTTTATCATGGTTTCGCCTTTTCAAAAAGGAAGTGAACTATTGCCCTTCACTCTTTTGCATCTTGTTACAGAGAGAAGGTAATTAGTATATACACTTGGAAACATTGTAGAATAACAAGATAAAATTAAAGTTAAAGGTTCTTAGGTTAAAAAAAAGTTTTGCATCTTTATACCACCTTTCATAATTGCCAGTTCTACTATTTTTTAATTAAAAAAAAAAGTTCCAGTTTTATCTACTAATTATATTTAAAGTTTTACTTTTGACATGCGTTTTAGTTGCCTATTACATAAGTCTTCATACCTTTAGA